AGCAGGGTGCTGGCAGGATGCTGGCAGGGTGCTGGCAGGCCGTGGCTGCTGGCAGAGCCAGGCTGGCAGGTATGTACCTCTGCATCTCCGTGCTGCTTCCCACCATCCAGCAGCTGCTGGCAGCTGGAATGTGCCCCGGGACTCGCCGGGGCTGGGGGGAGAGGGGGACTTTCTGGACAGCTGCTAGGCAAAATCCACTGGGGAAGCTCCAAGCTGGCCTCTCATTTTCCCAGCTCAGCAGGGCCAAGAACATGAGCTGCTGCTTCGGCGACTGGGGGAGGGAAGCAGAGCCCCCTGCCCGGCCTCTCCTGGGCCTGAGGGGCTTCAGACACCCCCCAGACCAGCACAGAGCCATCCTACGTGCCTGGTGCAACCAAAGAGAAGTTATTTCTTTGTGGCTTTTTTTAGGGTGGGGAGAGTTTTAGGCCTTCTGTCCCCTGGGCCGGGATGCGAAGCGAGAGGATGCGAAACTTTGCGGCGCAGGGGGAGGACGTGGAAGGTTGGGAGTGTGTGAGGGTGCTGGGGACCCTGCAGGGTGCTGAGCCTGGCCTCGGTGCCATGCAAGGGTGATCCCCAGAGCATCTCACCTGCCCTGGGGCTCCTGCCCTGGGGGACACAGCCTGCCCTGGGGCTCCTGCCACGGGGGACACAGCCTGCCCTGCGCATAGGAATGCGGAGAGTTATTTTGGGAGCAACCTGACCACTAGATTTTTCCCCGAGAAAAATCCCAAACTCACTGAGGGCCAAAAGCACAGCCTGGGAGCAGGTTTTTTTTCCTTCCCAGGGATGTGCTGGGAGAGGATGAGTATTGCTCACCCTCTGTGCTTTGGGACGTGGCAGGGGACCAGGTCCTCCCCCTGAAAAAAAACTGCTGCGCGCCCATAAAATCGCCCCAGCAGCCCAGAGCCCGGCAGAAGCAGCTCCCCCAGCACCCCTGAGCAGCCCTCCAGCAGCCCAGCATGGCCAAGGCAGCCGGGGTGGTCTGCACCCTCCTCCTCCTCGCCGCACTGTGCTGCCAGAGCCTAGCCCAGAGTGAGCCGCGGAGCCGCCTGCCCCTCCCCGGGCTGGG